CCCCTAGTCGCTGCCCTAGCCGCCCCTGTCGACGCCCCAGCTTTAGCGGTCGTCGGCCTTCGCCCCCAACAACGTCGTCGCCCGACCAACCTCTTCCCCCCGTCGTCGGCGTCGCCCCAATAACGTCGTCGCCCGCCACGTTGTCACCCCAGCAACGTCGTCACCCCTGATTCATTGTTTGGTAAATTTTCACTCAAGTCCCCTATACTTTATCCTACATTGCACTTTTGGGTAATTGCATTCAAGTACCCTATAGTTTCTCTGTAATTTTCACTCAAGTTTTATTTATAGATGTTTTAGGATACATAGACAATGATGAATGTAATAGATCATCCACTGGAATTGTTCCACTCATGCATTAAGAGATCTCTATACGTTTAATATTTTGAAGTAATTAAAATCTATTACATTTTCTAATATTTGCTGATGTAAAACTTTTTAAGACATGTACATTATACATTAATGTAAAGGGAAGAGGTCATCTAATCTCATTGTGTATGTGTCCCCATAAAAGAAAAGGTTTTTTTTAGATATTAGTCCCTTACAATCTTCAATAATTGTATATTAGACTCTTAAAATTTAAAAATTGTATATTAGTCCCTTAAATCCTATAGGGTCTTATTAAATGGTCTCTATTAGTTTTCAATTAAAAAATTTTGTCCAAGATCGGGTTAACTCCTAACTCAATCATAATCTTCAATAATTGTATATTAGACTCTTAAAATTTAAAAATTGTATATTAGTCCCTTAAATATTTATTAGTAAGTAATAATGTAGATTTTATATGATACCTGACTATATAACATAATTACTTAAAGAATCAGGAGAAGAAACGAGCTTAAAGATAAACCCAAACATTTGGGGTGACGGCGCCATATAAATGAAGATATTTGATGACCAAGCAAAACAAGAAAAAGAAATTGTCAAAGCTATTATACTAATCTAGCTAAGAATACTTCTCTTATTAGTTTGTAAGAAAGTTAGATTTAGGTTGAGGTTTCTATTGTTTAATCTGTGCCTATAATTTTTTTCAGCATATATCTTCATTATTTTCAATTTAATATATAAAATTTATAAGATATATTGGAAGGAACTATAGAATAAGAAGATAATAACTTTGTTATGTTCGTTTTTATATGTCAAGGTATGCACAGAAGGTGACGTTTTAATCTTGAAGCTTCCGCAAAACCCATCTAACAAATGTCCTATATATCAAATTTCTCTACATGGTATTGTGTGGACGATTTTTATACCAAATGACATAAAATTGCATTCTTTTCTTTTTGAGGAATGGCAATGTAAAATGGGGTTGGAGGATGTACGTCTACTAATGTAAATTGCTGATGCTTCTTTTAGCCTTATTAGGTTATTTGAAAACAATTAACTATAAACTATTGATGCTGCTTTCAGTCTTATAGGGAAAAAGTAGGTAGGCCATCAAAACCCATCTAACAAATATTCTCCTCGAATTAAACCTTAGTCCTGGGGAAAACTGGTGACACATATTTGTGATCATGGTTGTTCAAAGATGTAATACACAGAAGGTTAACATATAAGAAGCTATACTAACGTATAAAAATTATAGTATTTGCACTTATGCCATAAAGTACACTATACTTAAAGTACCCTATGGTTTTAAAAATTATAGTATTTGCACTTATGCACTTATGCCATAAAATACGCTATACTTAAAGTACCCTATAGTTTTTGTTTGGTGCACTTATGTCTTATTGACTATGTTTTGTTTATGCATTACACCAATTCCAACATTGTGAGAGTGTTTTTATATATGTTCCACGTTGACCAATAATTGCATAAATAAGTATTTTCTGAATGACACCATATATAGGTTAACTTCTTTGCATTAGAATGACCATATATCTAAACATATGAGTATCTACATAAAATTAAGCATTTCTTTGTGTTTAGTTTTTGAAGAGGTTGAAATATTTTTCAGGAAATTTTAGTACATTGCTTGAAATGGCACTGAATAAAGATTGGATGGACCTAGTAGATGATGATAGACTTGATCCAAAATATAAAGAAGGGGTTGATAAGTTTTTAGACTATGCATATGAGAAGCTGTTGGATAGTTTTATTAAAAAGGATGAAGACTTTGAAATTCGATGTTCATGTGTTAAATGCAGCAATGTGAAGTCTGGTAATCGTGAGTCGGTAAAGACCCACTTGATTGTTCATGGAATTATTAAAAACTACAGATTTTGGTGTCATCACGGCGAAAGACAAGGTGAGTCCATTTCAGAGTTTGATGAAGAACAAGAAGAAATAACAGAAGAAAGCCAGAGTGACGATGAAATGCAAGAAATGATTGGAGATTTATTTCATAATTCAAATGGTGTTGTTGCACCTGATGCCACGTCGAGTCAGGATATTCTTGAGCAGGAACCAGATGAACATGCAAAACAATTCTACAGTCTTTTAGGTGACTCCAAGAAACCTTTGTATGAAGGCTCTAAATATTCAAAGTTATCTGCTTTAGTAAAACTTCTTCACATAAAGAGCCTAAATAGGTGGAGTAATAAATCATTCTCAATGTTGCTCCAGTTTTTGAATGAGGAGCTATTGCCAGGGGAATCAACACTGCCTAATTCGTATGACGAGGCCAAAAAATTAATCCGAGACCTTGGCCTATCATATGAAAAAATTGATTCGTGTCCATTCTCTTGCATGCTGTTTTGGAAAAGTGAAGAAGGTCTTGATACGTGTCAGAGATGTGGTGTTTTTAGATGGAAACTTGATAAACATGGAAAAGAGATCAAGCGAAAGGCAAATGGTAAAAAAATACCACAAAAGACATTGCGATATTTTCCTCTTAAGCCACGATTGCAAAGGCTTTACATGTCTTCGAAGACAGCTTCTGATATGAGATGGCACCATGAAAGACAAGTTGAGGACGGAATGATGAGGCATCCAGCTAACTCTAAGGCTTGGAAAAACTTTAATGAGCTACATGAAGCTTTGCCGAAGAGCCCCGAAATGTTAGGCTCGGTCTTGCAAGTGATGGTTTTCAGCCTTTCACAAATTCAAAAGTTTCTTATAGCATATGGCCTGTTTTACTTGTACCATATAACTTACCACCATGGATGTGCATGAAGCAATCCAATTTTATTTTATCTATGCTCATTCCTGGTCCAACTGGTCCTGGAGATGCTATTGACACCTACTTACAACCATTGATAGAAGAACTAAAGAAGTTGTGGGCCTCAGGCGTTCAAACATATTATGTATCTCTGAGACAGAATTTCATTTTACGTGCAGCACTAATTTGGACTATTAATGATTTTCCTGCTTATAAAAATTTATCTGGATGGAGCACTAAGGGGAAATTAGCATGTCCTTGTTGTAATAAGCACACTCACTCTATCAGGTTAAAATATGGAGGTAAGCAGAGCTATATGTGGCATCGTCTCTATCTTGATAAAAATCACAGTTGGAGAAAGGATAAGAAATCATTTGATGACACTAGGGAGAGAGGGTATGCAGCGCCGAAGCTGACCGGAGATGACATCCTTAAGCAGGTGAAAGATCTTATAGGGATCACCTTGACCAATCATCCAGAGAAGAAAATTAAAATATCATATGAAAGATGGGGAGATAATTGGAATAAAAAAGTATATTTTTTTTTGATTTGCCATATTGGAGAACTCTCTTATTGCGACATAATTTAGATGTCATGCATATTGAGAAGAATATTTGTGATAGTCTGCTGGGAACAATCATGAACATTAAAGGAAAGACAAAGGATAATATCAAAGCCCGTCTCGATTTACAAGCAATGAGTTTAAAACCGGAGTTACATCCAATCCAGAGAGGAGATAAACTTGTGATGCCAGCAGCTTGTTATACTTTATCCCAAGAAGAGCAAAGCAAATTTTGTTGATTTCTAAAGGAGTTAAAAGTTCCAGATGGATTTTCATCCAATATTTCTCAATGTGTAAACCTTAAAGAGCGTAAGATTTTGGGGTTAAAGAGTCATGACTGTCACGTTCTTTTGCAGCGCTTGATTCCTGTATCGATTCGTGGCCTTCTTCCTGCAAAAGTGTGTGAACCAATTATTGAACTTTCCATATTCTTTACTATATTATGTGCCAAGACATTAAGGGTGGATGAACTAAAGCAAATTGATGAGCAGATTCCACTTACGTTATGTAAGATTGAGAAGATTTTTCCACCTTCAATTTTTGATGTTATGCTGCATTTAGTAGTTCATTTAGCATCTGAAGCCATACTTGGAGGGCCTGTTCGATTTCGATGGATGTACCCAGTGGAGCGTCAGCTTTATACTTATAAGTCATATATCAGAAATAGGGCACGTCCAGAAGGGTCAATTACTGAAGGATATATAGCAGATATAGCAGATGAATGCATGACACTTTGCTCAAGATATCTAAAAGGCTTCGAGACAAAGTTTAATCGCCTTGAAAGAAATTATGAAGATGACAATAGAGAATGTAATGAAGCACAACTATCTATTTTCAGACATAGTAAGCGGGCATTGGGTGCTGCCGCCACCCGCTATCTTGATGAACGTGAGTGGTTGCAAGCTCATATTTATGTTCTAAAGAACTGTGATGATGTGCAACCACACATTGAGTAAGTCACTAAAGTTTAAGATTCTACTAATAAATTTACTATAGTTAGTCAACGTTAATCATATTTATGATATTTTAATATAGGGACTACAATGAATTCATGAGAGAACCCACAAATCACTATGATGATAAAGATTGGGATAAGAACTTTATCGAGTGGTTCCAAGCGCTAGTACGTACATATCTTGCCTTATTTTTTTAATATGATAAAAAATATAGGGATTTGCTCCCCCTATCAAAATGCCATATAGAATATACGAAATGAGGATCATGGCAAACATATGTGAGCAAGCATAGATGAATATGCTAAGCACTCCTCACATACGAAAAAGATAATGAGAACACATATGAATATATCAATGTGAAAGAAGTGTCTCATTAGCACAAAAAATATAGAAACCATATAAAAGAATAGATTTATGAAATCAAAGAAGAGGAACATGAGAGTCATGCAAAAAGTTTTCAAATGAAAACAAATCAACCAAAAGAAATCATAAATCAAGATTTGAGTCCAAAACCCATGTTTGATCAAAAATAGAATCTTCTTTGTGGGATTTGATCAAACCACATATGGAATACATTATAAGGCACGAATAGATGATCCATAAGCACAAACATATAAATATCATCATATAAGTGAAATATAATGAATTCAAAGCAACAAATCAAAACAAAATATTTAACAAAAGAATTTTAAGAGAGGCAACAATATATCAAGCTCTTAAGCTTGTTCCAACCCATATAATCATTCTAGCATCCGGTAAACATGATTTGGGAATAAACACCCAATAAACCCGGAGGGTTATATAAATGCAAACCTCTCATTAAAGCAAAACCAATGATCATGAAAACAAAAGAACTTAGCCAATAAAAGGAATTGTTTTCATAAAAGTTTAAAATGCATTTTTCAAAACCAAGAAAGAGAAAAATAAAAACACTAAAATTCTTGGTTTAAAAATTATTTTGGCACCCAAGCATTCTTGGTGCCGGATTGTTTAGGGACATGACCCCTATCAATAAAGCTCAAAGCCCTTGGGTTATGAACCCATTTGGGCGCATTTAGTGCACGGGTCCGGTCATAGCAATAATTATGCAAATGACCCATTCGATTGCAATAAGTGCAATGAAGATGTTGACCAAACGGTTGTGCACGGGAAACATTAGAAACATTTGCAAACATGGATGGTCTTTTAAAATTGTTTTGCAAATGTGAAACTTTCTTTAAATCAAAACAAAATTTGGCCAAATGACCAAATCTACCACAATGATCACATCTATACACATGAGAATGCTTGTGATGAACTTTATGAGTGTGTGCATGTACATGTGTGTGTGATGAAGAAGCCTTATGAGATGCACAAGAGGCATTGATATTACTATTTTTAGATTTTTGTGCATCATAGCAAAATTTAGATAAATGGCCTTTACGACCATAAATAGAGCACTTATAAATTTTGCTATACATGTGTGCATGATGTGTGATATGTTTAGGTGTAGTAGCATGAGACTTAGCACACATGTTCATAAGCTTATCATGGTTTACCATACATGTTTTTAAGGTTGAATCTAAACAAGATATGCGATGTTTAACTTGACTCAACTCAACATTTTGCATACATGTATAGGAAATAGAAGTAGATGAAACATTATCATTTCTAAAAGAATTAAACTCATTTCTAATAGTTTCTACTTCTATCATGGCATCATTATTAGCATGAGTTAAGCTAGATATAGATGAAGTCAATTTTTCATTTTCCAAATTTAACATATCATTGTTTTCTTTAAGCATTATATTTTCATTTTCAATGATGTCAAATTTGGACACTAGCTTCTCATGATCGGATTTCAATTCTACATGCTTGCTTTTAAGATCAATAAAATTATTTTGTAATTTTGTATAGGCATGCAATAATTTCTCATATGCACAAGCGAGTTCATTGATGGATATATCACTTTCGGATTCCGAATCGCTTACCACACTAGGGCTATCGCCTAGTGGCCGTGTGCATGATGATGCTCCACACTCACTTGAAGAACAATCCTCCAAACTACGTCGGATTTCCTCCAAGTTGCCTTGATGTGCTTCTATGAATTTCCATAAATTGTAAGCACTATCAAAATGAACAAATTTGTTAGAAAAGGATGAGTCAAAGGCATTAAGCAAATATTCTAACAAAAGCTTGTTCATATTAAACATTTTATTATCATGATTGCTCCACTTAGATTTCTCCAATGTGGGCACAATATAAGCACAATCAATAATTTTCCATAAGTCAATATTTCTAGATTCAACAAATAGTTTAAATCTAGAAGCCCATTGTGCATAGGGAAAATTAATGAATTTAGGAGCAACATTGGATTTATAGCCTAAACAAAATACATTCATATTCAAGATATATATATGAACATATGCAAGCAAGACAAATGCAATCATAACTAGATTAGCACAAATAAGATAACTTGGATCTTTAACTCAAGGCGGTTAGTCCTTAAATCAAAGAGCACCAAGCTCTGATACCAATTGTTAGACCCTAGAGGGGGGGTGATTAGGGTCTTATGCTAATCTAATCCGATTAAATGCCAATTAAAACTAATTAATAAGTTATCCTAGCAAGTATAAAATACAACAAGATACGTAAGCTAGGATAAGCAATATGAACAAATGAATATATCCTATCAATGAGATATTACAAATATATGAGCAAGGATATATGAACTAACACAAGGGTAAAATAAACAATCTACACAAGTGATAGGGTAATATGATGAGCAATACACAAAGGCGATATAAGATATGAAAACAAGAATAAGAACGCCAATGCAATCACAAACAAAACGATATGTTTACGAGGTTCGGTCCCCACGACCTACGTCCCCGCTCCTCACCTCGAGGAGATCTCCACTATCACAACCGGGTTTTCTACGTTCACCCGAACAACGTTTACACCTCACAATACAATCACTATGTAATCACACCTCACACACTAAGTGTTGGTCCTAGCCCGTGTCCTCCTCCTCAAGTGCTCGGTTACAACCTCTCCCTAGGCACGTCAACCGACGCCACTCCTCTTGGATTCGACCCCGTCTCTCACCACACACTTCTCTCGGTGTACAAGTGTATTACAAGTGAATCCTCACAATAAGCACAATATAAATCAAATGATTTGTTCTCTAAACAAGGTGAGAACTCAATTAAGCACAACTCTAAGTCACTAATCTCACAACCCAAAATTATACTATGAATGTAAATACAATAAGCTCAATAGGTTGTGTGTGAACAAAGAGATAATAAAATCAACTAAACTCAATATGAACACTAGCTTAATAAAAAGATAATCAAACAATATAAAATATGAAGCTAGATTGAGTTTAGAAAACTTCTCAATAGATCAAGAGTGGAAGGAGAAGAGTTGGATGCTCAAACACCAATAGATGATCTCCTCAAGCTCTTGTGGAAGTGATTCACAAAACCAAAACACTCAAATGCTTAAAAGCTTATAA